GTGTGTGTGTGTGTGTGTGTGTGTGTGTGTGTGTGTGTGTGTGTGTGTGTGTGTGTGTGTGTGTGTCCCTGTGTAGGAACGTTGCTCTGCAGATCAGCAGAGCAATGAAGGAAACAACCAGAAGGATTATTTTCAGCCAATGAATACAAATTATATATTATAGTATTTAACCATATTCTTGCTTCTCTTTGTTGAGTACATGTCTGCACTGTAATTATTATATGTCTTATTATTATTTGGGGGGTTTAGGACCATGTTAGGGTGGCTTCAGCCCCCTAAAATAGGCATAACAACGTCCATGCAAGGTGTTGAATGTTGTTCCTGTAGCAGAAATATCACAAAATCACTGCATTTTTATAGCGTTTATAAAGTTTACCAGTGGTTCTAGTATTAAAGCAGGCAGAGGGGAACTCACAAAGAGAAATACTAGAAATAGCACTGGAATGCTAAACAGACAACAAAAAATAATCTCATAACAGACAATGGAAAACACACAATTAAATACATAAAGAGGGGGTGGAGATAACGAGTCACAGGTAGAAAGAATAATCAGCACATGGACAGGAAGTGAAATGACAAAGACACACGAGGATCGATTTAACATAATAAAACAGGAAATCACACTACTCAAAATAACAACAATTACACTCTCAATCATCTACCCGGATCAGAATGTCCCTGATCCTAGATCCAGACTAGTGATGTCTGCTACTGATGACAGCATCAGTTGACACCACAGTAAATGATGAGACTGGTAAGTGACAAATACACATGAAGACCAATTCAACTCCATAAAAATCCATCCATCCATCTTCATCCACTTATCCGGGGTCGGGTCGCGGGGCAGCAGCTCCAGCAGGGGATCCCAAACTTCTCTTCCCAAGCCACATTAACGAGCTCTGACTGGGGATCCTGAGGCGTTCCCAGGCCAGTGTGGAGATATAATCTCTCCACCTAGTCCTGTGTCTTCCCTGAGGCCTCCTCCCAGCTGGACGTGCCTGGAACACCTCCCTAGGGAAGCGTCCAGGAGGCATCCCTACCAGATGCCCAAACCACCTCAACTGGCTCCTTTCAATGCAAAGGAGCAGCGGATCTACTCTGAGCTCCTCGCGGAAGGCTGAGCTTCTCACCCTATCTCTAAGGGAGACACCAGCCACCAGCTGCTCTGATTCTCCCCGATGTACTTGAACCCTCACTTGGGGTAAGGACTCATTCCCTACCTGGAGTTGGCACTCCACCGGTTTCCTGCTGAGAACCTTGGCCACAGATTTAGAGGTGCTAATGCTCATCCCAGCCGCTTCACACCAGTGACGACGGACCGATGATGCCATCAGGACCACATCATCCGCAAAAAGCACTGACGAGATCCCAAGCCCACCGAACCACAACCCCTCCTTGATATCCTGTCCATGAATATCACAAACAGGATTGGTGACAAAGCGCAGCCCTGGCGAAGGCCAACCCTCACCTGGAAAGAGTCCGACTTACTGCCGAGTACTTGGACACAGCTCTTGCTTTGGATGTACAGGGATTGGATAGTCCTGAGAAAGGTCCCGTCACCCTATACTCCTGCAGCACCTCCTACAGTATCTCCCGGTAGACATTGGCCTTAGACTGGATGGGCATCCTCCAAAGCCCACTCCAGGATCCTTGTGAGAGTAAAGAGCTGGTCAGTTGTTCCACGACCAGGACGAAAACCGCATTGTTCCTCTTCGATCTGAGGTTCGACTATCAGCTGAACCCTCCATTCCAGCACGCTGAAGCTCCTTGGGCACTGTACCCGACATCCACGCAATGTTAAAGAGAGTGTCATCCAAGACAGCCCCTCCACACCCAAAGCTTTTAGCATTTCTGGGCGGATCTCATCAATCCCTGGGGCTTTGCCACTGTGGAGTTGTTTGACTACCTCAGTGACTTCCACCAGGGAAATTGATGAGAACCCCCCATCAGCCTCCAGCTCTGTCTCTACTAGAGAGTTATCCGGGGTTATCCGTGTCAGTCGGATTTAGGAGTTCCTCAAAGTGTTCCTTCCATTTACATTACATTAATTCATTTAGCGGACACTTTTTATACATGTCAGAGGTCGCCCAACCCAGGTCTCCCACACCAAAGGCAAGCATCTTATCTATGCGCCATCACCATCCCCTGATTCACTCTCAACCTCAATTACCTCCCCAGTTGAGGTCAACAGGGTGCCATCCTTACTGTACACAGCTTGGACGGTTCCCCGCTTCCCCCTCCTGAGGTGGTGGACAGTTCTCAGAAGCACTTTGGTGCTAACCGAAAGTCCTTCTCCATGTCTTCTCCGAACTTCTCCCACACCTGCTGCTTTGCGTCTGCCACAGCAGAGGCTGCAGCCCTTCAGGCCCGTCGGTGCCTTGCAACCGCCTCCGGAGTCCTCCGAGACAACAAATCCCGGAAGGCCTCCTTCTTCAGTCGGACAGTTTCCCTGACCACCAGTGTCCACCATGGTGTTTCGAGGGTTACCGCCCCTTGAGGCAACTGAGACCTTGAGACCACAGCTTCCCGCTGCGGTTTCAGCAATAGACAGGGGCCTCCTCCAGACGTTCCCAGTTCACCCAGACTACCCGTTTGGGCTCACTGGGTCTGTCCAGGGTCTTCCCCCATGCCCTGACCCAACTCACCACCAGATGGTGATCAGTTGACAGCTCCGACCCTCTCTTCACCCGAGTCTCCGAAACATGCGGCTTCAAATCAGATGAAACAATTACAAAACCAATCATCGATCCTCAGCCTAGGGTGCTCTGGTACCATGTACACTTATGAGCGTCCTTATGTTCGAACATGGTGTTCGTTATAGACAATCCATGACTAGCACAGAAGTCTAACAAACAGCACAGATCACGCCTTTCCAGGTATCTCCATCATTGCCCACATGCGCGTTGAAGTCTCCCAGCAGAACTATGGAGTCCCCTACTGGAGCCCCCTACAGAACTCCATTCAGGGTGTCCAAGAAGGCAAATACTCTAAACTGCTGTTTGGTGCATATGCACAAACAACAGTCAGAGTTCCCCCCCCCCCCCCCCCCCCACTACCCGAAGGCATAGGGAGGCAACCCTCTCGTTCACCGGAGTAAACTCCAACATAGCGGCACTCAGCCGGGGACTTGTGAGTATCCCCACACCTACCTGGCGCCTCACACCTTGAGCAACTCCAGAGGAGAATAGGGTCCATCTCCCATCAAGGAGTATGGTTCCAGAACCAAGACTGTGCGTGGAGGTCAGCCCCACCAGATCTAACTGGTTGCGCTCCTGCACAAGTTCCGGCTCCTTCCCCCACAGAGAGGTGACGTTCCACATCCCCAGAGCCAGCCTCTGCAGCCCGGGTCTAGTCTGTCGAGGCCCCTGACCCCTGCGGATCTTCCAATGGATGGTGGGTCCAAAGAATGCCAATATGCCAAGGATGTCCATAAAAATCATGAAACTCAAATTCACAACTATAGCAACAGCCCTCCTAAGAATTGGCTCCCGATGTGTTCAGGGAGCTAAAGAAATAAGCAGGTGCTCTACAGGCCCAGACAGGCCTGAGAGTTGGACAGGGAAGGAGCAGGAGATCTCAGGCAGGCAGCCAGAAACCAGGGGCAGGTGTTAGTCAGACTGCCAACAGTGAACCAAGAGTAAAGTCTAAAGGGCACTGATCAACAGAGTCTCAAGGGCAGCCGTATAGATGAAACTCTGTGAAGCTGACCAGCTGAATCTCATTGGAGCTGGACTACAAAGAATCCGGAGGGCCGATCAGCTGAATCTCTGGTATTCTGGATATTCTGGATGATATTCTAGAAGTCGCTGATCAGCTGGGTCTCTGGGGAGCAGGACAGCTGAATTTCTGAGGAACTGGTCAGCAAAGTCAGAAGGGTGTTGGGCAGCAGGACCATAACATAGCACTGGGCTTCAGTAAGGGCGAGGAGCAAGGTTGAGAGGAGTCAATGGTGCTAGATTGCAGGGCATCCAGGTAGCCATTTGAACAGTTCATATCTCGAAGGATTCCGGGGAGGCTGGCATAGGGGTTGCCAAAAAAAGTTTCAAAATCCCAAACATAATCCACTGGAGTGTGGGCTACTTGTAGCAGGCCACAGTGAAGGCTGGTTTCTTGCAGGACTGAGTGATGGCCAGTGCCTAGACCGGGATGAAGACTGGGGGCTGGAAGACCAGGATGATGGCTGCTGGCTAGCATACTGGGATGAAGGGTTTTCAGCAAAAGAACCAGGGGCCTAATGTGTAAAAGACTGTACAGCTTTCATACTGAACGATGGCGTGCTCAAACAATTTGAGAATTAAGAATGCACAGAAATATCCACAAACCATGACTGGTCCTGCGTACCTCTTCTTTATGTATCTCAATCAACGTGAAATTGAGCACACATGCATGAACGACAGAGTAGCAGAGTGGTACAATGGCAGTCAATGCAGCCGGCTCAGAAACTTGTACAATGGGTAAAATAAAGAAAACATATTCTGACATTCAAGAGGTTTTTTGTATGTGATCAATTGTTTATTGTTCATGTAAGACAAGGAGCCGCACCGAAGGACTATCTAGCTACGTTAGTGTTAAAGGAGTTGACATCCCGACACCATAACCATCACAGAGGTTTGTGGCTAAACCTAGTGATTTATGCATGTCCACCAACTAACCCTACAGCCTAACGCAAATGTGCAGCAGGTGGCGTTAGCCTCCTTTGAGTTGCTGTCAAAAAAGTATGCTTTGTCACGGTGTCTGAATGCATAGTTTTATTTGCCAAAGCTTCAAAACATATAAAGGTTATGTCCAGAAACACTTTGAGATAGAAGAGAATAAAAGAAACCAAACAGAATTCCTGACTCTAAAAAGGCCATAAGTTGTTCTGGAGGCTCGTGGTGGCCTGACTCCAGACTGAGACACGTCATGATGCTTTCTCCTGTCATTTGTCACCATCTGTGGATGGTCAGAAACTAAGCATCCACAGATCACTGGTTATACAGAGTACACACGGCTAATTTATGTAAGCTAGTACCTTATGTGTTTATTTGTAAATGTTCTCTTTACATTATGTTTCTGACCACTGAAAAATAAAGAAACTGAAGAAGAAAAGATGATCATGAGTTAGACAGTTATCATTCAAACTGATCCAGGAGCTAACTTCAGATCAGTCATGCTCAGTGGTGACATCAGCAGTGATGTCATCACACTCTCCATCCAATTTATCACTTCCTCCAACCCGCTGGGTCATCTCCATGGAGACGGCTGGTTTGTTTCCTGTCTTCCTGCTGCAGCAGATGGACAGCATCAGACCAGTAGAGACGCAGTATGGACAGAAGACCACTAGATGGCAGCAGAGTCTGAGCACAGACAGAGAGGAGTCTGACGGAGGAGAACAAGAATCAGGTTTGTTGCCAAGTAGGTTTTCAACATCCAAGGAATTTGTCTTTTTGGTGCATAATAATAAACAGTGACAGAAAATAATAACACAAGTACTGTAAAAGTCAAGAATCATAATTACAAAATGTAAATGAAAAGAATTGAATAGTTAAAAGGGACATTATACAATTCTCAGTGGGCACTACCGGTGCGGTCTTAAGATTGCAACCAGGTGTGTGCTCGTACCATAGTCTGTATATAAAAAGCCTCATATGCCTGCTCGCTTTAACTTATGAGCGAGCATAATCCTAAGCCGCTTTCATACAGAAATCCAGCAATAAACGCGGAAACAAGGGCATGCCATCTGTGGCTTTTCTCCAGACATGTTCAGGCTCTGTTACTTTAATGTTCCCGGCTCAGATGCAGATCAACACTGGCTCCGTCCCTTTCATCCAGTGGAGCGAGACGGCATAGTGACACAATAACACTCCTGTAAAATAAGGCAGTGTGACAGCAGCTATAGACAGGAGACAGCTTCACACAACATGCTGGAAACTCCCACTGCAACGTTACAGTAATGTTTATCAGCTGCTTGTGTTTTAACTAACCCATGGTCGTTATATAACATTTCACTGACTGCATTTGCCTACGTGATACTTAGGCATTAGCTCACCTGCTGCTTTTCAGTAGGCTATCATTATTATCTGTATCTTTCACCGGAGGCTCAACAATATCAACACAGCTAAATGTATTGGATGATGACGAAACGGTTGGTGAGCTAGACTGAATATTTTAAATGAGATTGTTGTTGACTTTATAACAGTTAGACCACAGTAAGTTACCTTATTGTAACGTTAGTGGATTGGTCTCTTTTTGTATTGTTGTCTCTTCTCCCTAACAGTTAACAGCTGCACCTCCAGTCACCAGTCTGTCAAACTCCTGAAGTTTGCAGATGACACCACCCTGATTGGGCTCATCTCAGGTGGGGATGAGTCCGCCTGCAGGTGGGAGATCGATCATCTGGTGACCTGGTGCAGCCAGAACAGTCTGGAGCTCAACACTCTGAAGACCGTGGAGATGGTCCTAGACTTTATAAAGAGCACAGCCCCACCCTCCCCCATCATCCTGTGTGACTCCCCAGCCACCATTGTGGACTCCTTCCGCTTCCTGGGCACCATCATCTCCCAGGACCTCCCTCACCAAGAAGGCCCAGCAGAGGATGTACTTCCTGCAGGACCAAAGACAATGATGGTGCACTTCTACACCGCCATCATTGAGTCCATCCTCACCTCCTTCATCACCATCTGGTACGGTGCTGCCACTGCCAGGGACAAGGGCAGGCTGCAGCGTATCATTCGCTCTGCAGAGAAGGTGATTGGCTGCAATCTTCCTTCTCTTCAGGACCTGTACGCCTCACGGACTCTGAGGCGAGCAGGAAAGATTGCTCGCCTCATTGCTGGCCCCTCTCACCCCAGACACAAACTGTTTCAGACTCTCCCCTCTGGCAAGAGGCTGCGGTCCTTCAGGACCAAAACCTCTCGCCACAAAAACAGCTTCTACCCGTCTGCAGCTAGCCTCATTAACAAGGACCGGGTCCCTCACTGACACTCCCCCCTTGCAAATAATGCAGATGTCTCACATCTAAATTATACTTAATTTCATATCATGCACAAACCTGGCATATTGCAGATATTTGTTAATTGTAAATCGTTGTTGTTCTATATTTTTATATTAAGCGAATTTATATATTATGTACCCGCGACCCTGTACGCAGGATAAGCAGTTGACGATGGATGATATATTTATGTACACTATATCCTCTCCCATTGCAATACGTCTGTAACACGAACCGGAGTAATGCACATGTAAATATCTGCCACATTGTTTTTTTCTCTGCAAATTGTATTATTTTTCTCTATTATTCTTATATAATGTAAATTTGTTTATTCCATATTTATACATTTCTACATTTATTTATGTCAACTGTATGTTTGTCTACCTGTAGCACCTTATTACCAAAGCAAATTCCTCATGTGTAAAACACTACTTGGCAATAAAGCTCCTTCTGGTTCTGAATTTAAATTGAACATTATGAAGCAAACAGCGGTAGGTCCGAGCTAATGCAGCATTAGCAACTGCTAATGAGAGAGGGACAACTCATGTTTCCCCCAGCAAAGGGGTGTCTGGAAAGTTTGGTGGAATCACCTCATCAAGATGGATCTATACCTACCTATTTTATGTTAACTTCACACAGAATTATCAACAAACAAATATAGAACCAAATGTCATTCATCGTTGTATCATGTTCCTAATATGACTTTAATATAAGATATTTAGGGTTAGAGCTGCCAGCTCAACTTCCAAAGGTACATCGTCTTCATGTGATTCATGCTATTATTTGTATTGCTGATAACTGCAATGGTTGATTTTATATTAATATTTTTATGCATTTTAAAATGAATGGGTTTCTATGGAAGCACAGACTCAATATTCTTCCAACCTCGATCATCTTGACAACAACCCCACAGAGGTTAAATAGCTGAGTTTCCCTACCATTTAGTCAGAACTGAAGATGGATGGGGGATGAAATGCTTTAAGTATTTTCAACCAATTCCAGTTACCCTTGATTCTAACCTTCCTTGGATAACTATGGCCAGAATGACTCAGAACCTCCACAGAAAGCTGAAAAGCTTTGATGCACCATTTAATTAACTCTTACTTCTTTCTCTAAGTATTTACCCCATTGATGCTCTCCGTGCTAATAGCTCTTACTAGTATCTATGGTCACTTGTAGAACTCTTACTGTATTGATGGTTCATTGATGCTTGTATGTTGTTCCTCAAAAGTTGCTCTGGATAAAAGAACAACAAATTGTGAGCTTTGTCAAAAGTTTTGTTCAGTTGGAAGAGTGTCTTCAAAGCAGCACTTATGGTGTCAGACATGGTACGATTCCATCCTCAGCCAACAGTGTTAACTAATCATAGCTTTCAAAATGCAATCATTTTTCACATGGAAATCAGTGTTTTCTTCAGAGAGTTATTTGCCAGGTATTGAGCACCCTCTATTGGTGCTTTGGAGGCATTTCAAGCAAGTCCGTAGCATATGATAGATTTTTTAGCACATAAGCTCTGTTATGTTTTGGGGCTGCTTTGCTGCATCTGGCACAGGGCATTTTGAATCTGTACAGGGTACAAAGAGATTTTAAGACTATCTCAAGGTATTCTGGAGCGAAATGTACTGCCCATTGTCAGGAAGCTTGGTCTCAGTCGCAGGTCATTGGCCCTCCAACAGGATAATGACCCAAAACACACAGCTAAAATCATCAAGAATGGCTAAGAGCAAAACATTGGACTATTCTGAAGTGGCCTTCTATGAACCCTGATCTACATTCTATTGAACATCTGTGGAAGGAGCTGAATCATGCAGTCTGGAGAAGGCACCCTTCAAACCTGAAACAGCACGAGAGTAGAGTGGGCCTAAATAATATCCTTATTTGTAGAGCACTTTTCAAAAACAAGTTACAAAGTGCTTTAACAAGTGTAAAGAATAATACAAAAAAACAAGATAAGAGCATGAAAACCTTGAAAAGACTAAAATACAGATAAATAAAAAATTTGTAAAATACAATAAAATAAAAGGGATAAAATAAAGTCAAATAAGATCGGGAAAGCTCTCCTATAAAAGTATGTTTTAAGAAGGGACTTAAAAGAGTTCACTGACTCAGCCGACCTGATTTCCTCGGGCAGGCTGTTCCAGAGCCTCGGGGCCCTGACAGCAAACGCTCTGTCCCCTTTAGTTTTCAGTCGAGACTCTGGAACAGACAACAGACCTCTGCCCGAGGATCTCAAGGTACGTGCTGGTGCAATAGTGTTGACAAGTGAGGAAGTCTCATTGAGAGTAACAGCAATCGCTTGATTGCACATTGTGCAACAAAATTTAAGTTCAGGTTCATTTGTGTCCGGTACAATTTCATGAGTTTGTTTTTAAAATGATTCTGTTGAACCATAATTAAAAACAATGTCTGATTTTCATAAGTTAATTTTCAGTATTTTTTTATTAATTACTTACTTTTGTCAGGTTCAAGTTATTTCTGGGACCATTGTGGGTTTTTCTTTTAATGGAAGAGTACCAACAGTTTTGTCAATGTCTGTATAAGCCGCATTTGGCACCTATCTTCTCCTGTACAGTTTGTCCTACAAACTCCATTTCAACTTCAAATTGTACATCTTGTTCATGAGAAGTGCACTATTACTTTTATTTCTGATATCTGTAATGGTTGATTTTATGTTAATATTTGTATGCATTTAAAAATTAATGGGTTTCTGAGGGAGCGGAGACGGAAATTTCTTCCAACCTACTTAAATTTAAGAGCTTGTTGCTCCGGATGTAGCTACAGACTCCATTTCAGCCTTAAACTACAGAAAAGATGTTGATCAAAGTTGTTATTGATATGTCCTTCCAAAGTGAAGGGTTTTAAGCTTTTAGGAGACACAAATACCTACAGTGTGGAGAGAAGGATTTGGTAGACCAGAATTTTTTTGTAAACTGCTGTAAGTTGCATAGATTCATCTCCATAAACACAAAAAAGTCATCAAAATGTAGCCACATGTCTTTTCTCTCAAAATGCCAACATCTTCATCGATGGAGGTTTAGTTTTTTAGATTTAAACCTTTAATCAACTCACCTGCAGAAACAAGCAGTCCAGTCAGCAACACAGCCGCACCTGCAACAGTCAGCACAGCCAGACCTACAAAAGGAGATCAAGGTTAACCAAGGTGACGTTCACACTGCAGGCCTTAATGCTTGATTTAGAATTTTTTTCCCCAGATCCGATTTTTTTATTTGACAGTTGTCAACCTCCAGTGTGAATGTCCACGACCTAAAAGTGACCCACATGCGCAGAAGAATAACGCGATGTCACACGCAGCGGTACAGAAGTAAACAAGGAGCTACAGAGGTTAGCTCCTGTTAGCTCATACTTGCTAACCCTCCCGGGAGACTCCACGGGTGTTTCTCAAAACCAAGAATGCAAAGAACCGATTTCTTTTCCTGGGGAGAACGTTCTTGCTAGTCGTTCTTGGAAAAATGAACTTGCAATGTCACGAGCACAGAAATGCTGCTGACGGTTTGAGACGAGGCATTCTTGCTGATATTGCGCAATACCCCAAGCACGGAGGCTGCCTGCAAATACTGTGACCACAACTCTACTGTACACAAAAAATGTAATGGTCTAATATAATAAAGCAAAGACATTGCCCTTTCGTACTATTTCTGTTTATTTTTTCCGAAGTTTCACAAGACCAGATTTTTCTGTACATCATCCAGACGTCTCTTGATTCAAGTTTAAACCTTACAAAATTGCTCAGAACGTAATGACAGCAGTACGAACGTTAAAACTATCTTACAGCTAAGGGTCTTTATTCTGGCTGCAGTGGTCTACGTGTCTGAGGGCTCTGTGAGCTGACTGGCCGGCCGGCTCGTTAGCTTCTCCCAGACTCAAGTCGCATTTAAAAAGATCCGATCTGTATCAGATTTCGACCACATATGAAAGTGCACCAAATGCGAACTGGAAAAGATCTCCATGTCTTGGCCTGTTCACGCTGTCATAAAAAGATCAGATCTGAGTCACATATGAGCAAAAAAAAAGAAAGAAAAAATCTCATCGGATTCGGGTCATATTGGCCTGCAGTCTGAACGCAGCCTAAAGGTCTGGGTTCAGGCAGACCGACAGATTTCCATCAGCTCACCTGCAGCAGTCAGCACAGCCAGACCTACAACAGGAGAACAAGGTTTACTAAAGGTCAGAGGTCAGCAGGTTAACTTTGTATTCAAATATATAAACAGTTAGTGGAAAATATCTAACTGAGCTTTCAGCAGCATCTCATGGTGTTCATCAGTAAATGGAGTTGGCTCAGGTGTCATCATGTGACCTACAGGTACATCACATCTCCCCCCATATACAAGCAGCTGTTACCATGGGACTGAGGGTCTGTACCTCACATGACCACACCTGAAGCATCTCCAGAACTATAGCCATCTTTCTATCTAATTGTCAAGCAAATTTTAAGCAAACCTTTAAAATGTTGCAAAAAAAGACAATGCAAATTAGGCACATTTCAACTGGTTTGGAGTGAATCAACCAGGTTACGCCAAGTAACCGTAGTTACGTCATACGTTGACATTACGCATGACTGCAATAAACAAGTAGTAATGGGTGCAAACCAGACACAAAACCAGTCGCATGGACCTAAAAACCATGAATCTGAGAAAAATGGAGAGGTATTCAGTAATTCAGAGTTGCTAGTGGGCAAGTTGCTACTAGTCATGCTTTTACACGTTATGGGAATATCTGGCAGACCCCAACAGCAAAAACAGCTGATCAAGTCAGGATTGCCGTGTGTGCAAGCAGGTACAGGCTGTAGGACCCAAAAGCAGGATGGTCTGGAAGAGGTTTAACTTACAAATAAGTCCAGGCACTCAAAGTGAGGCAGTCCAACACAAACCAAGGAGATCTACAAAATAAGGTAATCCAAACTAGGCAAAAGGTTACTAAGTCCCTAAACAGATAATCCAAAATGTGGCAGTTGAGAAAGGCAGGAAAACAGACACACACAAAGGAGAGACGAACAACAGACCAGCGAGGACAGAACAGAAATGAAATGAAACATTTAAGCACAAGGTAACGAGCAAGGCGGGACCAAAACCAGGTGGAATGCATGAGGAAATCAGACAGAATACAGACTCAGGCAAACACACCAATCAAGGGGAACAGACAGGACTAGACCTAAATACAGAAGTGAACATACTGAACAACCCAACATGTGAAAACTAAACAGAACAGGAGACAAGCAGACAGAACAGATCAAGACAAGAAACAATCAGGACTGAAACCCAAGACACACAACAGACCAAACACCAAACAGGAAGAGACCCAAACTAACACTTAGCTGACAGGCAGAAACCAAGCATGAATCAAACACCAGACAAACAACCAGACAATAACAGAATAAAACAAGACTGGCACAGATCAAAACCACATGACAGGAAACCAACTGAAAAAACACGCAAAGCAGAAAACACACAAGCAGATGAAATAACTGATAATTCAGACAGACTCCAAAATAAAACACGGAAACTGTCTAAAACAAGGATCAGGGGCCTGTACCACATAGCGAGTTCAGTATTCTCAGGACATGTTTTCGTTATCTGGCTTCACTAACCCTAATAATCGCTATCAGGATAAGCGGTCACATGAAGCTGGTTATCAACTCGGTAAATCAAGCCAGGATTTCCCAATCCAGCCATGAGCGCGTTCACATGAAAGAGGCGGTGTTGGCAGCAGATGACCAATTGTAGACATGAACAAGTCCACTGTTAGCAGAGCATCATATTTTACAAACGAAGAGCAAACTGTAACACTACAGATAGATATTCTCCAGTGCGAATGCCTAAATGAACAGCTGTAGCCTACAAAATGCATTGATTTGATGTTTTCTTATGGCGTGTATGAAAGTATTTGCTTTATACTTTTAGCTCGGCTGTGTGTCGGCGCTTGCCCATTGTACGACACAGGCTCACTTCAAAAATGTATTAATTTATTTGACACACTCAAATGTTTTCCAAACATTGTTCTAAATTAACTTCATAAAGCAATGAGTCAAAAAATACATTCATGCCATAAAATGTGCTCAAATTGTGGTTGAAAGACTGAATCTCTACATTTAGGCTACTGGAAACTCCCGCACATAACCTGCGTTCATATCGCAAAAGGTATATAAAAATAAATAACCTACGTTCATATTACAATTAATTTCTATATCCCTACCAAATTATATGTTTATAATATTCAGCCTCACAAAGGAAGAATTAAACCTATTTATTTTAACGGCTGCGACAGGCTGTGTGAAACGGACTGGGGAGCAAATAAAAAAAAATAAAACACATTTCAAAGCAGTGAGTCGGCTTACAATGAAAACCTACAATAGTAGCTTACAAGGCTTTCAGTCTCTCTGTATGATTACATCACTGTGCAAAAGTTTAGGCTAAAATTTTCATAGACACCATAAGAAGACATAAAATCAACGCATTATTATAGACGCCTGTTCATTTAGGCATTCACACTGTCGGCGATTATCTGCCTCCCTCCATGTGCCCGGAAGCTGTGGTACTTAGACTTGTAGACATTGTTGTATTTGTCTAACATAACAGTTTACTCTTCGTTATAAAATATGTTTGCTGCCAGTAGACTTGTTCATGTCTGTGACTGGTCATCTGCTGCTAACTCCGCGTCTTTTATGTGAACGCGCTCACAGCTGAATTGGGAAAGCCTGGGTTGATTTACTGAGTTCCAGTCTGTTCATATCAGGTGAGTCTGACAGCTTTCATACCTGTTAGATTCCTGTGGAGCAACAGAACCCCAACCAGGACCAGAACCAGAAGAACCAGAGAACCAGAGAACCCACAGCTGCTCCAACTGGAGGGGTGGCAGTGGGGGAGACTAGAGGAGGAGCAGAAGGAGGAGCAGAAGGAGGAGGAGGAGAAGGAGGGGCAGTGCGATGGGCAGTAGGACCTGAAGAAGAAATCAGTACAAATGCAGTGATCAGTTTATCAGGTCAGCAGGTTAGTTCATACTTAATACTTTTTTTTGTTTTCTTTTTTCATCAGTTTTAATTTTCATTTCTGTAAAAGCCCTTCTAAGGACGAGTGTTGCAAATTAGCAACTGCTAAAAACACTATGGTACACACATTGGATTACTGTTTTCAGTTAATCTATGTTAGATGTATCGGTCCCTAATAAAATACACCATAAATTAAAAAAATAAAAAAAATATAAACAGGAAGTGATGTCAGTGAGCTGACCTCGGACCCTCAGCCTGCTCCGAGGAGATACAGCAGTCTGATCGATATAACACCAGTAAAGACCTTCATTAGACATATCGATGTTACTGATGTTCAACTGTCCAGGTCCAGATCCAATGTTAGAACCATCCCTGAAAAAAAAGCTTCAAGTGTGGACAGATCTTTACTTCTACAGCGCAGAGTGACATCACTTCCTGCCATCACAGGAAGTGCAGGAATCTCCAGAATAACCTGAGAATCTGAAGAAGAAGAAAAAACCCACATAAGACCAGAGTCCTATACAGACAGTGTAGGATCGTATACAGACATGAACACAGGATGGATCAACTTGCTTTTTGTATGAGTCACAGTGATGTTGATCTGGTCACTCGTCTGTCCAGAACTGGTTTCACACCAGTAAACTCCAGTGTCTGATTGGGAGAGATTTGAGACGATACAGGATGAACCATCAAACCTCCCAAAGTTCTCATTGTGTCCCCCTGCTCTCCTCTTCACCGTCCATCCATCAACTGTTTGTCCATCTTCAACACAACTCAGAGAGACCGACTCTTCTGTGAAGAACTGAGGACGGTTTGGACGGACATCCAGAGAGACTGTAGGGCAGACAGAGAGGGGTACAGATACAGATGATCACATAGACATGTGATTAGACAGACAGTGCTTATTTTCACTTTCATCGGCTCACCTGCAGAATCAGTCAGTCCAGACAGCAGCAGCACAGACACACCTGCAACAGGAAGACAGGGGTCACTGAAGGTCAGAAGTCACTGAAGGTTAGAGGTCACTGAAGGTCAGGGGTCACTGAAGGTCAGAGGTCATTAAAGTGACCGTTGAAATGAGCTATAAAAATTTTTATAAAAAGTTGTTCCATCAACTGTCTGGAAATGCAGAAAATAAAAAAATGTTTTGTTTATTCATCAAGGAAAAAGCTCCAACTCCATTTAAATTATTTTACTAAATGTTATTTGATGTATAATTATTGTATAATTGTATATGTATAATTTTAGCCTTGTTTGATACCCTGTTATTGCCATTTCTCTGTTTCCATACATACAATATTACATTACTCATACAATAAAACAATAATACAATAATAAAATTTTATCAGACAAAGGCTACAGTGTAGACAACACAAATGTACACACTATGAACAAAAACAATATTAGATATATTGACAAACTGTGCAGTGAGCAGTGCAGGATGCAAAGTACATGTCATGCTGTGCAATGTACACATAAGTAGCAAAGGATGCTGGAATAAATAAGTATTTTGTACAGGAGTTATGTACTTGAGGCAGGTGGATTTGGTATACAGTATATACAATATGACAATATAACAGTATGAACATTATGAAATTGAGGATGGTGAATCAATAATAAATGGTAACCAGTAAACAGGTGCTGATTAGAGAGAGTTACTGGGTTACTGCACAGGACTTGTTCCTGACACTGTGAGTCAGAAATCAGCTGTTCATCAGAGTGATGGATTGTGGGAAGAAACTGTTCCTGAGTCTGTTGGTTTTGGCGTACAGTGCTCTGTAGCGTCTACCAGAGGGGAGGAGCTGGAACAGGTTGTGTCCGGGGTGAGATGGATCTGCAGTGATTTTTCCTGGCTCTGGAAATGTATAAGTCCTGAATGGAGGGCAGGTTGGCACCGATGAGTTTTTCTGCAGTCCTGACTGTCCGTTGTAGTCTGCTCCTGTCCTTTTTGGTGGCAGATCCAAAGCATACAGTGGTTACTCTTTAGGCAGGTTGAGCTTCCTGAGCTGGCACAGGTAGTACATCCTCTGCTGGGCTTCTTGATGACAGTGTCAGTGTTGGGCTCAGACTTCAGGTCCTGGGATATAGTGGATCCCAGAAACCTGAAGGATTCCACAGCAGACACAGGGCTGTTGAGTATGGTGATGGGGGGCAGAGTGGGGGGACTCCTCCTGAAGTCCACGGTCATCTCCACAGTTTTGAGCGTGTTAAGCTCCAGGTTGTTGTGACCGCACCAGAGAACCAGCTGATCAACCTCCCGTCTGTAGGTTAATTTAGTCCAGAGATGGAGGGTTTTTCCTTTAATGAAGTGTAGCAGTGGTCCAGTATGTTAGTGTCTCTGGTCTGTCTGTACTTTGGAAGTTCATGACTTAGGTTTGCTTTCCCCAAGTCCCCAAGTTTTTTCTCCACGTTAGTTATGGTCGGCCAGGTGTAGTAACGCCTCACTAACACAGGCCTGAGGTGGAATGTAAACAGCGACCAGGACAAACGAGGAAAACTCCCGCAGTGAATAAAAAGGTTTACAGTTTATAAATAATGTCTCTAAGTGAGGACTGTATGATTTCTTCAACACTGTGACATCTGTGCACCAACATTCATTTATGTAGAGACAGAGTCCGCCTCCCCTTCTTTTTCCCGTGAGCTCCGTTTCACGATCCGCATGGATGAGATTAAATCCTGGTAGGTGAAGTGCGCTGTCAGTGATTTGCTCGGTGAGCCAGGATTCGATTCGAAAACAGAGGGCGGCAGATCTTCAGAAGTCCGAATTAGTTCTGTTGAGGAGCAGCAGTTCATCCATTTTGTTGGCCAGAGCGGACATTCGGCAGGTGGATTAAAGGGAGAGCAGTGTGAAAACCCTGTCTCAGATTAACCAGCGCGCTAGCACGTTTCCCCTATGGCGTCAGCGTCTTCAGTAGATTTCATACAGAGCGGTTGCTCCTCCAACTAATAACGCTGAGAACGTTCCGGGTTCGATAAAGAACGGTGGAAT